AGCTAACAGGAAGTTTATGGTTCGAAAGTTCTTGAAAATGTAAAGAAAAACCTTGTAAATTCGAATTTTTAGGGGATTTCACAGATCCTGAGAGGCGCGCAATGGTCGCACAAGTTACCCAGCCGACAGTTAATGGACGAGACAACGCCCGAAGAGTTTTATGCAGGGCGCAAACATCTGCGCGGAGGAGGGTAGATGAGGGAATGATTCCAGGGCAGCTCGTTAGTTTCAAGTCTTCTTAAGACATGAAGAGCGAATACGTACGATGATGCTCTAAACTATAGGATCCCGCAAGCTGTCGATGCCATGCAGACAATGAGAGCTTTATTCTGCTTGACGAACCGGACAGGGCATACTATGGAAGTAGGGCCTTACTGGCAGCCGCCCTTGGAAGACTGGTGCTAAGGAATGTAACGGTGAGCAAAAGTTCCAACGATAAGAGGATGAAAAAGTTATGCTCTAGAATTTGCGGATTTAGTGCGACGGGCGGTACAAGCAGATTCCAGCTGTCATGAGCAGAGGATCTTCGTCACAGTTTTACTTCATCCTTGGGGTCTTTACGACGGCACCGTCATCCCTCTGCTTTTTGCGTTTATACCCGACGGTAAAGTGGAGATGTACCGCCACCTATTCCGATTTTTCTGGGATATTCTGGGAGGAATCGGATTGCGACACGCACTGATGCCACCAACGTGTACGTTTCTGTTCGACTTCGAGCTTCCTGCAATCAATGCGGCAACTATCGAAATGCCGATCGTGGTGAAAGGGTGAGAGCAGAGCATCTATAGAAGTAACACGCAAGTTACCAATAGTTTATTTCAGATGTTTTTTCCACTACACACAGGCCATCATCCGCCACCATGATGTTGCGTCTGAAGGGAGCAGCATCAAAGAATCCTGTCATTGGAGTCTTCTTCCGACGCATCCAAATGCTGCCGTTGCTGCACCCACAGTTCCACAGGGTGTCAGAAGCCCTCGTGGTCCCGCAGCCTCCACTTGTGTCGTAGACGGAACACACGGCCCTCCTCCAGTTTATGCGATATTGACAGGAACAACTGGGGTATTGGAGGAAGATTTTGGGGACTATGGGACCATTCCAGGAACGTTGGGTTACGAACAACCAACGTGGCTGAAGGCTTCCATACCAAATTTCGGGCCGCATTCCCAAGAGGGACCCCCACCCTCAAGCAAATGTTCACATCCGGTTTCATATGAAAGAACGCTAGTTTCAAATGTGCGAGAGGAAGGCAGGGCCGCTGCTACGCAAATGCTCCTCAATTTGAATGCTATGCTCATTTCTGCTCTGACTTGT